TTTGGCTTTGTGGCATGATATGGTTTGGGACACTTTTTCTGATTTCTTCAGCCGTGGGAGAATTCTGCAAGCTGCCCAGCATCCCTTTCATAACTCCTTTATCAGTCACAATTAACTTCTGTTGCTAACAACTAAAAATTCTGACTAATATAAACATGGGTCTTGGAGGATGTGGCAATCAAAAGAACTTCAAGGAAGTGGGAGTTACTTAGAACTGGTTATCTGTTCTGGAAGGTTCTAGTGACTCTGAACATCCAGCAGCATTAGGGGATGGGACTCTGGCAGCCCATGACACACCTATAGTTAGCTGGAATAAAATGCCCATTGCAGGCAGGCTTATGGAGATCTGGTGGTCACCCCCATTGAACAACGGAAGGCCACGAGGCATCAAAGTCTGTGGGGTGGGTTTCTTCCATTTCTAGGAACCCAAGGCTTCCAAGTGACCTTTCACTCAAGTTGCATGATCCTTGCAGGTATTTTTCAGGCCAAGACTTTTTACTTTTCCAAGCTCACTCTAAACTCATTCAAGCCCATGCTCCTTGGAATCTAAAAGGCCACATGACCTTGAAGACTGAATTACTCTGGAGTGATTAGATTTTGGAGGAGCCCCACCCCTTCTGCCACCTCTCCTCCCTGCCCATCCACTTCTGTCAAGCCACCAGGAAAAATGATAAGACATTTATTGAATCATCTACAGCAGTTTGACATCCTTAAAATCCGGGACCAGGTTGTGAGCACAGCATTAATGGTGGCAGCAATAGCAGTGAGGTCTGTGGGGCTTATCTTGATGGTGGGAGATGAAACCCAGGCTGGTCCAGCTCCCACAGGTGAGCTTGGAGTCACGCCTGGGATGCCAGGGGCTGCACCACTCAAGCCCTCACAGAAGCAAAGCCACAGAAGACAGATGTCAGACAAGACACACATCCCAGGACGTGAAGCTCAAGGAAAGAAGGTATGGATCACAGCCCACTTGACAGCTGTTCCAAATCCTTGAAAGATTCTCATGGAATCACATGGAAATGCTGAATCACCCACATGGAAGTCTCCCCATCCTAATCCCAAGAGCAAACTCAAACAGCTGACAAAGATATACTAGAATCCTGTGTCCACCAGAGCCTCCTGGCCTCCCCTTGCCCCTGATGCTGGTGGTTTTACAAATGGGGCAAAGGTTAATCTGGGCGGGCTCAAAGCAGTAGACAAACAGCAAAGGGACCCTTTCGGGGGGTGGGGGGGAGGCTTCACCTCAGTAACCAGCCTACACCTGTGTACAGTTTCCAAAGCACTTTTACACACATGGGGATCTTGCTTCAACCTCATCCCTGGCCTGTGAGGCAGACCATACAAATCTTGTCCTCCCGTTTCTCAGATTAGGAAGCCGAGGCCCAGAGAGGTTAAGCCTTGGATCCCAGCAGGTGGAGAAGCCTGAGCTAGAAAGCAGACCTCCCCACACCACACTAGACTCCATTGCCTCTCCTGCAGCCCAGAGTCCTAAACAACACTCTGTAGCTGGAAGCCTTCTCCTGTGCAATGCTAACTATTGGATGTTCTATTGAGTGTGTCATTCTGGCTATGTGCAAGGCTGTGCACATATCTGGGCGCCATTATAAAACATATTGGACACGAGCACCATGCTAGGCTCTCCTGTTAAGTGTTTTCTCATCCACCCAATGGGGAAGTTTGGCCTGAAGACCTCCAGCTTTCCTCCCAGTTCTAATATTCTGTGAGTCTCCCCAAATCTATATAGGGAATGAGTCAAAGTCAAACAGCAGGTCAGTGGCAAAGCTGGGAGAAGCCCAGGTTTCCTATTCCCTGCTCAGACCTCTTCCAACTGGCTCTCAGGGTCCCTGTGCCCAAGTAAGAATTTATGGTGACAAATTACTCACTGCTTTTACTTTGGAGTGGCCATGAAGGGGGAATGGATAATCAGAGAATTCTAAAGAAAGCCTCTTCCAGTTGTCCCTTCCTGGGACTTAGAGAGTCCGAGCAAGGAAGTGAGCCAGTGGCTTCGGTGGGTGATGACAGATGCAGGGTATTTCAGGATATTTCAAGCCTTGGGCCTGGCTCTATTCCCCAGAGAACCCAGTTCAGGGATTTTTAGAGAAGGAATCACTCTAGATCTTGGCCTAGTTTCAAGGAGGCCACAGAGATGCCCACTGAGACAGAGAATGTGGCTGGCCTCAAGCATGCTGGGGACTCATGAAGCCCCCAGTGTTGGGGACCACCAGAAAGCCACAGAAGCACCCAAGTCCCACGTTCTGACCCTATCCTGGGCTCCCTGACTTGGAATCCCATCTCCAGTAGGCTGGAGTCACTCTCTGGACACTTCCATGGCTGGATAGTTGTGACACAGATGAGAAATACCTTTGTCCCAAGCAGAATTCAGCTTCCCGTGGGTCTGAGTTTTGTTCTTTAGGATTGCATAGAACAAGAATAACCCCCTTTGCGGTAATGATCTTCCAGAGACATGGAGTGAGCCAACTCTCGGTCTGCTCCTCTCTGGCCTCACCATTCCCAAGTCCCTCAACTCTTCTTCACACAACATGAGTTTTGTTCCAGGCAAACACCTCAGTCCTACCTGGGACCCATTCTGTGTCGATGGCTGGTATTTAGACAGAGAATTTCAGAGATGCAATGGGCTGTACAAACCACCTAGTCTTATTGCCCATTTTACAAATTTGGAAACAGAGGGTCAGAAAAGCAGGGTCTCACCCAGACGTCATGCTGTCCCTACACTGCCTGGGACCCTGAAGGCCACCTGTCTAAACTCCTGGAACATTCAGAACACAACAGGCACATATGCTCACAAGGCTGGCAGTAACTCATACAGACAGAAAAACACACCAATAGGAACTGGAACCTCTATGAGGATGAAGGCTCAGGGATCAGGCAGCAGCACAGGACGTGGGAGTCAGGGTTGTGTTTTTGCCATTTTGTGATGATGCATCTATAAGGTCAAGGGTTCTTCTTCCACATGAACCATTCGACTGCTCCTTCGATCTGGAGGTGGCTACTGTCCACCCCGTCATGGCGCCCCACCACAGCCAGGTGTACGGCTGGGTCTGCACATCATGACCAAGGCACCTGTTCAAACATCCATGGCCTGGTCCTTCCCTCTGGAACACAGCCTGCTCCACCAGCTTCCCTTGTGGTGTCCAGATGGAAGAGAGAGGTTCCATTTCTAAGAAAGGGAAAATAAATAGCACCCCCAAACACACACACATACACTTCAAAATTTTAGATGATACACACAATGATGCATGCCCTTTCACCTGCCTCGGTTTTAAACTGGACAATTACTGACGTACAGAGCCCGGAGAAGCATTAGAAGCCAGCGCTTTGTCTCACAAATGGGGGAACTGGGGCCCCAAGCTGGAGTGTAGTGTCCATAGTCACAGCAATCTGAGCCTGACTGGGGCAGATCCCAGGTCTCCAAACCCCCGGCCATGGCTTCCTCCAAGCAACCCAGGCTCCTAAGAGTGTCCAAAGTGCAAGGTGGCCAGTGGATGCTTGCTTGGGTAATACACATGGCTCCCAGAGTGGGGTTAGGGGTAATGAAGTTGGGTGCAGGATGGGCCACTGCACACCCCATGATCAGCCTGAGTCACCAAATGTGCCCAGGAAAGGTGACAGCTCACTTCCTCCTTCTGTTTGTCAAAGACTAGGGATCCAACTGTGCTCTTCTGGCCAAGGACAAGGGCTCATCTCTAAATCACAGCAGTCGAGCCCTTTGCCAGTCATTGAAGACCTCTCCAGAAATACTTCCACCTATCCCTTAGGCCCCTTCCTCTTTATAACACAGCAAAGCAATATCTCCCTCTACCCAAACTCCAGACTTTGCAGAACATGATCATGAAACAAGTCCGCACACACATTTGGACAGAAACAACACCAAGAGTAGACGCGGAATCAGCTGGACCCACACAGGGCCATGGCAATCCAGCACTTATCCCCACCTTCCCCAAACCTAGTCCTGCCTTGTTTTAAATTCTTAGGTTGTGGCTGTGCAACTTGCAGCTGGGGAGCCAGGACAGGTGTGGGGGAGTGGCCATTCCTCCCTCCTCAGTGGCTTCTGCTTAATGAGCATGCTGGGCATGGCTTCTTCTCCAGACACTGTAGCGCCCCTGGTGATCCAATGTCAAGGGTACACAAGAGGGCAGTCTTTCAGAGGTCTCAGAGAATTCAGTAGTGGCGCTCAGGCAGGAGGAGCTGGTGGCTGGGGCGCCTCATTGTCCGTGGTGGATGGGGGCAGGGGGTGCCCTGGATTTGGGCTCATGGAAGGTGCTTCAGGCTTCGCTGACATCACAGGAAGGCGGCTGGTTCATTGGTTCATCCTAGTCATGGCTTTGACTTGAGAGAAATGGGGAGGGAAAAGGCTTAGGGGCTCTCTGTGGTGGGCACGTTGGGAAACAGCATTTCTGAGGCAACCATCTTTCACCTTCTGTAGCTGATGCTGGGAGTGGGAGGGGCAGAAGGGAGATTACCAGCTGAATCCCTGTTCATCTTGGTAAAGAGGGGAGGCGGTGAAATGATAGAGGTGTGAAGGCCTTCTTGCATGGATCCCCTAAACTTCTTCCATCTCCTTCCTATCAGATCCACATTTCTGGCTCTCAGCTTCTCTTCTTGGGCCACAGGAAAAGCACCAGAGCTTTCCCTGAGCCCCCACCCAAGCTGAAGTCTCTGAATGGAAGAGCTCTGGAGCTGTCCCACAGCCCTGATACCCAGGAGTCAGGCACCTGGACACCAAGACACTGGGTGGCCACCCGGAAGTCCACCACGCTGGCCACCACACTGCACCTCTGGCAGGCTCAAGGACTGGGCCCAGGCCTGGGAAGGGCAGTCCATGGTGCGAGCCAACTCACACGGCGGCCACGCCCAGAGTCAGACAGTGATGGGGGCTGCAAAGGCAGGCCATGCAGGCCCCCTAAGAGCAAGATCTCTTTAGCTTCAGCTCACACGCATGGGGTCAGGCCATCACTGAGGCTGGTGGAGACACAGCAGAATGGAGCTGGGGACCCGGCTGGAGGTGCGCAGGGTCACTGGGCAAAGGGGCATGGGATGTGGCAACGTTTCCAAATCTGAGGAGTATTTACATGTCTGGGGTCAGGGCCTGGGGGACCATGGTGGATGGGGGCCGGTGTCAAAAATGGGGAGGGGAAATACCAGTCTGCACCCTGCATCCTTCTCACCCCCCACCGCAGGAAGCCAAGCTTCCAGCCCAGGGCCTGCCCGAGGGGAAAGAAGAGGCAAACATGCGTGGGCCGCAGCCCACCTGCCCCAGCCCCAGCCTGTGCTATGGAGGAGAGGAGGAGGGGAGGGCAGGGCTCAGGTGGCCAGGTTGTCAGCCGGGAGCCCTGACATGCGGATCTGGGAGCTGCTCTTGCTCAGGATGGAGAGCTGGGTGCCCCCGTTCACCCCGCTGCTGGCCAGGGATGGGTGCCGGTGTTTGAAGTCCACGGCGAAATAGCGGTTCACCTTCCAGCTCCGCCACTTACGCTTGATCTCCGCCTGCACCTGCAGGGAGAGACCTGCCAGTCACTGCCATGCTGACGTCTCCACCCGCTGGGCCTCTACCCAGGCACTGCCACCTCCAGCACCCCTCCGCTCCCCACTGACTGCCAAGCGCAGCTCAGTCCTGAGGTTACCAGTGAGGCTTAATACAGTTGCAGAGCTGACCTTAATAGCCCTTTGCCTGAGTCGCTATCTGAGCAAAGCCCCCTAATGACCTGCTGTGATCTTTGGACCTCTGCTCCTGGCATTTGATGTTCTACAGTCAGAGCCTAGCCCTTGAGATCTTTCAGGGGATCTCTAAAAAGCAGTCTCTCAGGGCAGGCGGGTCAGGGAGAGGATCCCCACTCTCACCCGACCATCAACTGTGGGCTGCATATTATAATCACCGGGGAGCTTTCAAATACTCAGATGAAGAGATTTGGAACCAAGCTCCCAAATAAGTACATTAAAATCTCTAAGATTTTTAAGATCCAGGTAAGACCCAGGCATCTGCACGTCTGAAAGCTTCCCAGGTCATTCCCACATGCAGTCAAGGTGGAGAGCCCCTGAACAGTATCCTCTCTGGGTAAGCAGGCCTCCATGAAGCTCTCAGCACAGTGAGGGGGTGCAGGGCAAGCTTCAGCCTCCACCTCAGCCAAGCGCCTCTGTGGGTGCAGGACTGCCCAGCTGTAAGTGGACCCCCCACCTTCTCCTTTACCTCCCATTCCTGCAAGTCCTTGACTGTTGTCAGCTGATGTTGAGTTGGGCCTCCGACTCATGGAGACCCCATGCACAATGGAAGGAAACGCTCCCTGTCCTGTGCCATCCCCACATGGACTGCAGATTGAACCAGGCCCTTAACAAACTGCACTTATACCCCCTTCTGTGTCCTGGCTTGGCCAGCCACTCCCTGGAGGGCCCTATCCATCCTAATCTGACCCAACTGTAGCTGGTCTCAGAGATCACTGAGCCCAACCTTCCTGTTTCTCAGATGCCAAAAAAGAGGAAGGGCTTCCCCGAGGTCACCAGGTCACACAGCTACGACCCAAGCACTGGGGTGGTGACCCCTGCCGCCCTCTGACTCTGTCTCACTCACCAAGCCCCTGCCCCTGTCCAGCACCCCTGTTCTGATGTCTGCTCAAAAGCATCACCCCAAACAGGCTAGAGAGGTGGCCCTCAAGCCATAGCTCTGGGAATGAAACTTTAGTAGAAGGTTCCAGACATCTCCCACAGGGCCTCTCCTAAGTCTCCACAGTTCCCATTCTACCAAGGGACTCAGTGAGTCAGGCTGGCCCCTAGTCAGCACCCCTGCCCATCACAGCCTCGTGAACCATGGGTACCATGTCCAGGCCTTTGCTCTTCCTTGCTATCAACTCCTCCTCACTAAGGTGAATCTGGTGACCACATATCATGAGGGTGCCCCTGGGGGAGATCGACCATCCACAGAGCTGATGCCTTCCCTGGGGGGAGCTCTGCTTAGAGGTGGGGCCTTAGCTGCACAGCAGGCAAAGCAGGAGAGGTTCTGGCCCAGGGTGGGGGGTGTCCACCTGATGCTGGAAGCTGCCACCCCCTTCCTCCGGGGCCTGGCAGAGCCCCGGCCTGGGGAATAAACTCTGTGCTGTGCTGCCAGCAGGCCACTCACTCCCTCGTCTGCTCCCAGGCAGGCAGGCCCCACCTCCTCTGCTAAGAAGCCAATGGGCCAGGGTCTTACCTCCCCATTCAGAAAACAGTAGAGAATAGCCACCACGAAGCCCTAGGAAGAGAGCGCAAAAATAAACCTGAGAATGCTAGCAAAGAATCTTCCAGAATACTGATGGAGTGTGGGTGGGGGGAGGGGGAACAGCAGGAAGCAGAAAAGTAACAATGGCCTGGATGACCTGGATGGGGGGCACCTCTCCAGGGGTCTGGGGTAAGATGAGTTCTGCTTCATGAAGATGGGCACACTCATGAAGCCCAGTGGCTGGTCAAAGTCACCCTCCCACTCACACCTGGCAAAGGCCAGTTCTAGTCCACTTTCTACAAGAAGACCCCCCTGAATGGCCCAGCCCCCACTGGCCTCCCCCGAAGCCCCAGTCCTGAGAGTCTGAGTCCCACCACAGCTGGTACTGTACCCTGGGTTCCCCAACCAGCCTGCAGGCTCCCTGAGGGCAGGACCCCGTCTCCTCCTCTGTCCAAGACAGAGCAGACCTGTGCCATCTTTATCCTCCACCACCTCCCCACTCCACCTCCCTCTTGGACACAGCACACAAAAAACACCACGTGGAGTAAGTACTTGGCCCAGAGTAGGTATTTAGCTGTTCTACATATATTTTGTTACATTTAGAATCCCTTCCCTATCATCAAACAAAACGATAGAATTTTCCCGAATGCTGCATATCACTTCCTCTCAATCGCTGTCCCTTAAGGTGTCACTTGGAGGCATTAGAGGAATGAAGACACAGGCCCCAGAATATGTCAGTGAGAACGGAGACAGGAAACCTAGACTCTGACTTGAAGACCAGGGCTTTGCCTAGAAAGCCCGCAGACTCACCAGGGCTAAGAAAGCTGAACAGGTAAAACGACATTGAATTAAAATGGCGGCAGGGGAAGATTAAAGTCAGACGCACAGAGTACCTTGCTAATCATGAAAATCAAATGCGAATGTAAACAGCTGAGTTAAGGAGAGATGCTGTATCCTGGAGACACTCATGTGAGTCGAGTCGTCCTTGCCTTTATGGGTCCACTCATTCTCCAGCCATTCGCGTACTCATCATGCATTCTCTCACCAGTTCATCTACTCCTTCACTCACTTGTTTACAGCCCCGCCTACTTATTCATTAGCTCGCTGAGTCATTATTTCAGTCCCTGGCTTCATTTACTATTGATGCATTCATTTGCTCATCCACCTATTCAGCTCCTTTGGCTTCCTGTGGCCAGGTCCTGAGCTGGAGACCCCAATTTGGGTAAGACAGAGCTCCAGCCCTTGTGGGGTACACAGTCTATCACACCGAAGTCCGGCTGCAGACAGAGATCTCTTGAGGCCACTGCACCGGGCAGTTGGTGAGGGATGGGGAGCTGCCACCTTAGATCGCGTGAGTGGCCATCCTCAGATATCCAGAGGTAGGGCCAACCAGAGGTTTGCGTGTCTTCCTTCCCAGGAGCCCAGAGGGTAGAGAGAGCAGAAAGGGCTCTCCCAGCTGTCATTTGTTCTAGTCCTCTTAGTTCAGAGGTGGGAATACTGAGACCCAGAGTCTACGGTAAAAAAGTTTCTAGAAGAATCAGCAGGTCGGAGGCCAGCCCTCCATGCCTGCCAGCCTACCTGGAAGGAGCCCAGCCCCAGCTCAAACACTAGTCTCTCCCTCTTGCTGACATTCTCTGGGGAGAAGGCGAAGACCGTGTAGTGGATTCCAAACAGCGGGATGAGCAGCAGGGTGGAGCGTGCCAGCCGTCTGTCGGGAGAAAGTGAGACATTTGCTGGGGGGTGCTGGGGCTTGGGACCAGAGCAACAGAGGCAACCCCAGCCCCAGGCCACTTCTCTCCCTCAGAGCTGGAGCCCCCTCTAAGAGAGGCCCGAGGTCATTCCCACCTAACCCAGCCAGCACAAGGGGCCTGGGAGAGGTGGTAGCCGACAAGGTCCAGGGCTTCCCTGGGCTATTCCGGGGGGATATCCCCCAGCCTGCAGGGCACCCCTCCCTTAAGCCACCTCTTATCCTATAGAGGCCCCTGGAGTTGGGCACCACTAAAAATGCAGTTCACAGAAACCCCCCTGTGTGGTGTGCAAAGTGAAGTCAGGGCAAAGGCCAGGGATGGAGCCAGGAAGGCTGTCAGTACGTGATGGGTCCTCAAGCAGAGCAAACATTCTCCTACTCTGCAAAGAGGTCCCGTGTGCCAGAAAAAGCAGCCCAAAAGTTCACAGAGACAGTGGGCTTGTCTGACGCTGGGGCTAGATGGGGACACCCGCTGGGTGATGGGAGGTGCTGACGACAGAGAGAGGGAGTGCACAGGGGCTGGGCCATAACAGGAGAGACTTGGGATGGACTCCGAGGAAGGACTTACTGATTCTGGGCATAAAGAATCACCAACTAAGTAGGAGAGATCTGCTGCCCAGGGAAGTGTGAGTCAATTGAAGAGAAGCTGTTTGCTCTGAGGTGGGTGGCAGGGGAGGAAGGGTCCAAAGAGACCTCTGTGCCTCCTGAGACTGGCCCTTCTGGGGCTCCCCTACCTGTCAGGGGCTCTTAGGCCCACAGTGGGGTGGGACTCTGATCTGAGGGTGCAGGTCAGAGGCCTGTGGTTAAGACTTCAAGAGTGTGTGCATAAGCATGTAGACTGTGTGCTTCATGCAGGGGGCGGGTGGGGCACTCCCGGAGGCCTTAGAAGAGTGGGACCCCATCTCCACCCACTCAGCATACTGACTTCTTCTGGATCTCCCCAAAGAGCCCAGTCCTGTGCTGAAGATGTGGTCAGTCCCCTCTCCACGCCAGCCCAGGTGCCCCTAAGTGGTGAGGTGGGAACAGGAGGTCCAGCTGGTCCCACAGGGATGGACAGCTGGGTGTGGGGGCAGCCATTGGATTTGGGGCAATTATACTGCCCCCTCTCCTCCTCCCTATCCCAGAAAATGTTTCTACACCCAGTTCTGTTGAATGTGGGGACTCTGGATTTCTGGAGAAGCTGAACCATGGACCTGTGTGAGGCCCTAGGCTTCCTAGGGTCGCTATGAGTCAGCAAGGGTTAACAGGTTATTGAGAGAGAAGGACAGAGGGGACGGGGGAAGAGAAGGGAGGAGGGGTAGAGACAAGGAGGAGGAGTGGCCTGAGGAGATCTTCAGGTGGGGCCAAAGCTCAGCCTGGAAAGAAGAGGCTCCTGGAGTCAGGTGCCCTGCCCATCTCACCCTTGGTCCCTAGCTGCCTCAGATATCTGTTGCCCAAAGGAGGCACATTCTGCAGAATCCAGGGTCTGAGTGGGCCCCTGCTCTGGGCCCAGACACAGACCTAGAGTGGTCTGTCCTTTCATCCCGCCTCTGTCTGTCCTCTCTCAGGCTGTGGCTCTTTGAAGGCAGGGATGGTGCCTACTCATGTCTGTTATCACCCGTGGCAAGCATGAACTTGGCACTTGGAAAATGCCTATTCCATGAAGGAAGGAAGGAATGGACCACCAAAACCGAAAAACCAAACCCGTTGCCATTGATTCAACTCCAACTCGTGGTGACCACATGTGTGTCAGGGTAGAACTGCACGCCATAGGATTTTTAATGGCTGATTTTTTGGAAGCAGATCACCAGGCCTTTCTTCCAAGGCACTTCTGGGTGGCCTTGAACTGCTAACTTTTTGGTTAGCATCCGAGCACTTAACAGTGTGTGCACCCAGGGACCACAGAGGCTGGAAAGGAAGCCTCAGAGTCCATAAAACTGAGTATGGCCAGGAGCTCTGTGAAGGCAGCTCGGGACTCGCTCATCTCTGGGTGCCCAGTGCCTGGCACCAGGAAGGCAGCAGGGAGTGTGTGCAGAAGGAATGAACTCTGAAACAAAGAGGAAAGTGGCCTGGAAATGCATTCCCATGGATATCTTGGGGCTCCTCTGGGGCCCTGCCTAGAGCAGTCACTTTAAAAGAGAAGTTCAATGGAAGGGGCTAAGGAAGGAAAGTTGGCCTGGAACGTGACTGTGGCATCAGCTCCTGCCTTCCTCCCTCCTTGCTTCCTCTCCCACAAACGGGACCGCATCCATACACTTGTGCCTGCAGTTTGCAAAGTGCTCTGGGAACTGAAAAAGGCCAAACCTCTCCAGCTCTCTTGGTGGCATCAGACAGAACAGGCTAGTGTATGTAACAGTGATCTTTCGGGCATGGGCTCAGGCCCTTCCCAGCCACAGGACACAGTGGTGACTAGGACCAAAGGTGTCCTATAGTATAGGTCAAGGGCAACACCCTCCCTTCCCGTTGGCCCTGAGCACAGTCAGGGACTTCTGCTGGGGACCCAGGCCAACCCTGTGGCTCTGTTGGTAGATGGGGCAATGGGGCAGACAAAGAGGTCTCTAGGGCCTAGGGGTCTGGAACTTCTACTTCAGGGTTGACCAGAGGCCTTGGAATGGGAACATATGATTTCTCTTTGAGGGAAATAACAAAAATCACCCTATGATCTGATTAGCTCAGAGAGACAGTGACAGAGGCTTGGCCCCAAGCTCTCTTGCCCTGAGGGGCCATCAATGGGCAGAAGAGGCCATAATACCAAGAAGAGTGTCCACTGGTCAGAGCTGCCCAGATTACAACGGGCTGCTCAGGAGGCAGTCTGCTCCCTAGTTAAAGAGATGTCCAAATAGAGGTTGATGCTCCCTCCCAGAGAGGCGTTGTGGCAGAGCAGTTAGGACTCCTGGGTTCAAATCCTCTGCCCTGCCAATCATGTGACCTTGCGTGAGTCACTTAGCCTCTCTGTGCTTCAGTTTTCTCATCTGCAAAATGGGGACAATCCAACCAAGTACCCACCTCACAAGGTTGTTGTGGGCATTAAATGAGTTAATGTCGAGTTGGCACATAAGAGCGCTGTATCGCTGGAGGCTCCCTGCCCTGTGCAGGGGGATGGATTGGATGAACTCAAGCTCTAAGACTCTTAGAAATAATTTTGCAGTTGCAGAGACTGAAGCCCAGAGGAGTGCTGGGATTTGCAGAAAGCCACACACCGCAGAGGTTGCAGGTCTCTTTCCTCCTCGGCCCTGGAGGAGCTGTTCCCTGAATGGCCACAGCTCCATCCTGTCCCCTCCCCTCCCGCCCATGGCATAAGTTGCAGAGAACTCAGGAGACACACAGAACGTCAACATGCAACAGCTGGGGGCGGGTTGGGCTGGGAGGCACAAGCCTGCTCTCCACTCGCCTCCAGCCCGGCAGGACGCAAGCTTGATTGAGGCAGCGGCAGCAGCATGCGCCCCCCTCCCCCACAGGAGGCCCCGGCCACAGCCATGGCCACACACACTTACAGAGTAATGGTGGACAGTTCTGACATCTTGCAAGAGTGCTGCTGAGCCCGCTGTGGCTTGCAGTAGCATTTCTGCACGCAGCTGCTGGGTGTGATAAGATTAGCACTTCTGTCAGCTGGGGGCATCAGGACAGTGGAGGAACTGGGTTGGATTTAGGTCAACATAGCTCATGGGGAGGGCACAGGAAGGGAGGGTGTGGAAATGGGGTCTGGGCAGTCATGGGGAGGAGAACCAGGAAACTAAGGGCCAAGACAGGGTCAGCTCTGAACACAGAAACGCAGGCTTACGCGTGTGCACGTGTGTTTGGACACACATACATGAGCACCGGCACACTGTCCACTAACAGGTAGGGTGGGTTGGGAGTAAAGGAGTATGCTTGGAAGGTGAGGCCCAGGCAGGATCTCATCCAGGGAGCCAGAGGCTGTCTCCAGAGTCAGCTCTGAGCTCAGAGCATGGCCTTGTCAGAGATCACTCAGTGAGATGGGTGGCCGGAAACTCACGCCATGGACCTCACGGGCTGCACAGCATGGCCTTACTGAGCCTTGAATCAGGCCAGCTTGGGGTTTGGCTGTGAGGGTTGACTGGGGTATCCACTAGTCTTGCTCCCCTACACCTCTCACTCTTCTCCTGCCATGTCACACCATCCTTTCTTGGAGCCCCCAGGCACCTCAATGTTAGCTATACAGAGGGAGCAAAGGTGGTCCAGGTCTATGACTGCGCTATCCAATATGGTAGCCATTACCTACATGTGCCTCTTTGATTTTTAACTAAAATTAAGTAAAATTTAAAGTTTGGTTCCTCAGTTGCACTAGCCACATTTCAAGGGCTCAATAACCACATATAGCTAGCAGCTACCATACTGGACAGCACAGATACAGGACATTTCCATCACTTTGGAGAGTTCTACTGGGCGGCCTCGGATTAGACTTCTTAATACAAGGTCAAAGGGCAGAGAATGAGGCTGAGGAGCACTGTTGTACACTGCTCCATTGTCTCTAGAAAGAAGTCATCTTCTGGAGGGTCCACAGGTGGAGTGGGAACCAGACTAGCTCTACATTCTACTGGGAGAGTTACAGAGCTTCCATCTCCTCACAGAGGGTTCAGACTGACTTTCTACTCCTCCTAGACTTCGTGGTCCTGCTGATGCCTAGGACGGCACAAGCTGTGGACACTTCTTTCCCTTCTCTGACAAACATGTAAGAGGTGGATTAAGAGCTGTGCCATCTTGTCAAACTGCAAGACAGAGTTGCTCACTTCATAAATCCCCCTCAGGGAGGCTCCTGGGACTTGCTGGTGAATTGATAAATCTGATGTGGCTCTGATAGAAATGAGAACAGACACGCACAGAGAGAAGAGACCCTTGGCATTCGTGGATTTGCTTTTTGTGATTCCAACACTTTCAGAGTAAGGCCTGAAGGTCCTCAATATGTGGTGATGTGTCATTTGACTGTGGCAGAAATCTGAATCATATACTTCAAAGATGGAGCC